CTCTTTGTAGCGGCTGGCAGTGTCAACTGTGACAATATGTGTAAGTATCAAGAACAGGCAGCAGAACTGTCAGCAACTGTCAGCATATTCAGTAGTCTATAAAGGAGCAGTGCTGGGGGTAAAAGTTATAGTAGCACTAATAATAATACTACTAGGAATGCACCGATATATCAGCCGCCGAAACATATCGGCAGAAAATGGCACTTTTGGCATAATACCGAAAGTGCCATTTTCTGGCCGATACAGCAGTGCATCCGTTCTTTCTCTCCTCCCCCGCTGGGCGCTGCTCTGTGTCCCAGCGGGAGGAGAGAAACTGTCACAGGAGGCCGAGCGCTGCGTGAGGAGAGCGCTGTGAGCGGCCGGCATCTCTCCTCCCACACCGCTCAGCCTCCTGTCACAGATCAGCAGAGCGTGGACGGAGACAGCCAGTGCTGTCACAGGAGGCCGAGCTCTGCTTCTAGCTCTCCTACCTGCCTCCTGTGACAGCTGTCAGGAAGGAGATGAGTGCAAACACTCAGTGATCAGTGATCGCTGAGTGTTTGTAGATAATTGAGGACATGGTATGTGTACTGTGTCCGCAATTATGAATGAATGGGAAGTGATCTACATCCCCTCCTGTTCATTCATGATTGTGGTTATAGTAAACATACTGTACTCTGTCCTCATGTTATGAATGAACAGGAACACTCAGTATAGAGGCTTCCTGTTCATTTATAACAGAGACTGCAGAATAAGAGATTGATGACTCTGTGTTGTGAATCTCTTTTTCTATTTTAAATGAGAAATATCAGGGGTCTGTTTAGACCCCCAATATTTCCCGAAGCCCCTAAAAGTAAAGTAAAAAAGGTTTTCTATAATGTTTTTTAGCAGAGCTGACACTCTGAGATTAGTGACCGTATTAGGCATACATGGTTCATTTCAGTTTGTAGCAGGAGTTCAGAGCACAATATATCTACAATATGCATCTTACTACAGAGATGGGATCCCGAGCTCTGACTTCAGCCCTTCTATACTGGAAACCTCACATTTTACTTTTCCTAAACAGCCCTCCTAATGGGGCCCCCTCCTACCCCAGGCCCCATAGCAGCCTAGTGAATTGCTATAGCTATGGTTACATCACTGTCTGACCACAGGTACATACAGTATATACAGTAATTACAAACTAACACATTGAAAGATGGTGTTTTGGAACATTACTGCAGATTAATAAGACTATTTATATTAATGCCCCCACTTTGATGTGTATATGTAAAGCACAAGCAAATACAAAATAAAGATTGTATTGTCCCATTAAAGAGACTTACCCATTCAGAGTAAAGTGACAAAGTTTCTTGAAAGCTCTCACCTTTTTATACTCATTCTCTCTGCATCTGCCACCCCTCTCCATCATCACTCTGTATCTTCATTGAAGATGGAAGTCAAAGTCTGCTCAAGCTCTGTTATGGATGTTGATGATGTCCTCCTTTCACTTATGTAACAGTGGTTGGGCCTGGCAAGTGGCTGTTAAAGCCAAAGCAATACATCCTGGGTAGAGGTCATACCCAATACTGGGTATTTATAAAGGGCTGCAATGGAGCAAAGGAGTGATGAGGGAGCATAGCAAAGGTGAGTATCAGTGGTTGGGGGTTTGTGTGGGCTTTTGAGAAGAATACTCTCTCACAGTATAAATATGCATTTTCCAAACCGTCATCTTTACCCTTGCTTTATAACTTATTGAGCCATAAAGTGCGTTAAATGTCTCAAGAGTCTGTCCAAATTATTTTACTATTTCCATGAATAAGAGCAGGAAAGCAAGAAAGAGTGAACATGTTTTGGAGGCTAAAAAATGCCCCTTCATTAGGGTGTGAACCCTGATGAAATGTCTTTAAACTCAAAACAAAAAGATCCTGGATATATGAATTTGTGTTTGTCAAACAAGGGCAGGAGATAAGTCAGTAAGTGATCATGCCAGTATTAGTAGCAATATTATTTATTTTATACTGTTTCTTTTGATATTGTTGATATTTGC